TATATATATATATATATATATATATAATCAAAAAGATTTAAAGCTTCAGAACAATAATATAAATTATGTTAATTATTGATCATAGTTTCCACAAAGAATTTCTTTATGTCAAAACATTGATATGAAAAGCTTGGGAAGATAATGTTTTATTAGGAATGAAAATTTTATAATAATATTATTTTCTGAATTTCGTTATATAATAATACTTAAAAAATTCAATCATTTGATTTCATTCCTTAAGATTTTGTGATCTTAGCTCTCATCTTGTTAATAATAAAGGTGATTTTGTGAACTAATCATGCTTTATATTCTTCATATAATTTCTCATATTTTCAAGACATTTCATGGGTACCAATACAAATTATTTATTAAAATCAGGATATTTTTTAATGAAGACTACTAATGTTATTTAGAATGCAAAAGATGGTAATATAAAATAAATTGAAGATTATATTTTTAAATATGTGGAGTAACAGTGTTATTATTTTCTCCATTGTCATCATTATCTAGGTTTTATTCCAAGTACTTGAGTTTTGACCAATCACGATATTTTTTAGTGAAGACTACTAATATTATTTAGACTGTGAATTCTATTTTACCATTTTATTCTATGCCATATCTATTAATAAATGAAAAATAATTAAATCATTTCTTCGGTTCATGTCTTTTTCATTAACCCATAAATCTTCTTGGCCTTCAACATATAAGTAATTACTTTTCTTAAGGATAATGTAGGTGCCCTACTTAATACAAATAATTATTATTTAAGCCAAATTGAAATTCCTTTCAAACAAAAATTAAATTTGATTTTCTTCTATGATTAATCATTTGGTTAAGTTATTAAAATTATTTTGCACTTTCTATGAGTATAAATTTTACTATTATTTCTTTAGCCTTTTTTTTTAATATATATATATATATATATGTTTTTGTGTGTGTGTGTGTGCATTTTTTGATAGCATTTTAAATCTTTTATATATTTTACAACATTTTTCCATGTATAATATTTCCTTATAATGTTTTGTGCGAGGTGAAGTCTTGAGTTCGGATAGAAGTGTGGCCCGAACTGCCCCGGGGTGGGTCAGCTCGGGTTTTTGCCCTTTGCGCTCTTTGTAAAGCACATGACCTCTAAGGGAGAGCTCGGGTTCTTCCTTGGGGAACTCGGGTCGTGGGTTCCTTTTTTTGGGGGAGGTCGGGACTCCTTTCCTCGGAGCTCGGGTCGTGGGCCCGCTGTCGTACCGAGCTGGCGCTTCTGCCAGGTCACTCTCGGTTGCTTCCACGTGTCGCATGGCCAAGGGGTCGGGCCAAATCTCCCTCCATCAATTAACCCCCACTCCCCATGCTCGGGGTTCTGACCTGGCGTGGGGAGTTCACAAGATAACGGGTGGATTGGCCTTGTGACGCTTTGGCCTTGGTTTGGAGCTTCTCTAGTCTGACCTACTTGTGTTTTTGGCTCGATCAGAGCTGGCTTGGTTCGACCAGGGGTCAATCCCAGGTTGTGTGCAGCTCACGCGCGGATGCCAAACGATTTTAAATTTTCAAACGTCGAAAATGCGCGCTAAACTAACTTCTCCTCGAGGGGCACATAGCCAGTTTTGCGAGGAGCCGTTGGATGGTTTTGATCTTGGCCGTTGATGTGCGAGTACAGTGGCTATAAATAGTGGGGGGGCCCTGGTAACTTTCCTTCGTCATTCTTCAGCATTCGTTTCTTGAGCTCGCGTCATTTTTTGTAGTATGGTAGCTTTTCCCGGTGAGTCCTCAACCCTCTTTTTGATTCAATGTCTAGCTCGGGTAGCTTAGATAGTCTTCTGGGGTGATCAGATGCTGGTTCTACAAATCGAGTTGCTGCCCCTAACAGCCTTAGTGAGTCCGAGGCGGGGCCCGAAGTAGAGCTCGAGGAAGAGCTCGAGTTCGAGCCCGTAGGCCGAGTCACCTCGAGTAGCTTGGCATCCACCTCC